ATAGCACAGTTCTGCTCTGTCCTATAGCATCTCTATGAGTCAGAACCGACTCGAGGGCAATGGGTTTGGGTTTTTTTGTTTTTTTTAATATATGGAAATGGCTTAGAGCATAGTAAACACTCAACAAAGGTCAGCAATGAATACTGAGAGATAACATAGCATAGTGGCTAAGAGTATAAACCCTGGAGACAGACCATTTGGTGGGGGTTGGTCAAGTTGGACAATTTATTTATTTCCTTTATCCTGAGGTATAACATACAGTAAAGGGTACATATCTTAAGTGTTACAGCTTGATGGAAATATATATATACTTATGTAAATAGAATATACGAGAAAAACAAACCCAACCATTTGCCACTGAGTCAGTTCCAACTCATGGCGACCTCATACATTGCAGGGTAGAACTGTGCTCCATAGGGTTTTCAACAGCTGATTTTTTGGAACCAGATCTCCAGGCTTTTCTTCCAAAGTGCCTCTGGATGGGCTCGAACCACCAACCTTTCAGTTAGTAGTCAAAATATAATATCATATAATGCAATACAATATAATATAAATATCCGTCCATGCAACCAGCATCCAAATCAAGAAGTAAAACATGTCCAACGCTGCACATCTCTCCCTCCCCGCACCAGCGTAAACACTCTTCTGACTTCAATCACCATAGATTATTTTTGCCTGCTACTGAGCTACATATAAACAGAATCAGTGCACAGCATGTACACTTTTGTGCCTGGCATTTTCCACTCCGTATTATATCTGTAAGATTCATCCATGTTTTAGGACATATCAATCGTTCATTCTATTTTATTGCTGAATAGTATTCCATGGTATGAATATGCCATCATTTATCCATTCACCTGCTATTGAACGTTTGGTTATTTTCAGCTTGGGGCTATTATGAATAAAGCTGCAATGAATATTCATATGCAAGTCTTTGTGTGGGTATATGTTTTCATTTCTCACGGTAGGAGTGGAATTGTTAGATCATAAGATAAGGGTATGTTTAGCTTTAGTAGATACTGACAAACTGTCTCCCCAAGCAGCAATACCCATTTACACTCTCACCAGCAGTGTATGAGCGTTCCAGGTGCCCCATATCCTTGTCAACACTTGTTATTGCCAGGCCTTTTAATTTTAGACATTCTGGTGGGTGAGTAGGGGTATCTCATTGTAATTTTGATTTGATGTTCTGATGACTAATGACATTGAGTATTTTTTCATGTGCTTATGGAATATCTTTTTGTGAATCGTTTGTCCAAATCTTTTGCCCATTTTTAAAATTAAGTTTTATCTTTTTTGTTGATTTGTAGCAGTTCTTTATATATATTCTGGATACAAGTTCACTTTCAGAAACATGTATGGCACATAGCTTCTTCAATATTTATGGCTTTGGGTTTTTTGTTTTGTTTTTGACTCTTGTGGGAAGAGCATTCCAGCAGAAGGAACAGCAAGTGTAAAGGCCCTGATGCTGGAAGAAGCTTAGCTTGTTCAAAGACAAGAGAGAAGGCCAGAGCGGCTGGAGCTGACAAAGTGATTGAGGTGGGGCAGTGGCACCAGCTGGTTCACGTGTTAAGTGGTTGTTGAGCAGAGAGTGGAGGCAAAGGTGTGGAGGCCAAGGTAGAGGCCAGGAGACCAGGGATAGGCTGCAGTCAGAGCAGTCATACAAGGGACAGATGGCTGGAGAGATGGTTGGTGGTGGCTCAGACCAGAGTGGTAGTGGTAAGATGGAAAGAAGTGGACAGAGTAGAAATCTGTTCTGGAGGCAGAGCGGAGGCATCCTCACGTCTCCCCACCCAGGATCCTCATTATGTACCAGGCACTGTGATGGACTCTGGAGATACCACCTTAAACAAAAGGCACATGGCTCTTATCATTTAGGTCTCATCTTTAATGTGTAGATAGATTGGGTGTGGGTGGGAGGGTGAGGTGAGGAGGAATTGAGGATGGATGTTTTTGAGGTAGAACAGCCCCTATTGGGTGACTTCAAAAGCTTCTGCCTCAAACTGACCCAAACATGGAGTTGTTGTTGCTAGGTGCCATCAAGCTGATTTCGACTCATAGTGACCCCATGTGACAGAGTAGAACGGCCCCATAGGGATTTCTAGGCCATGATCTTTACTGAAGTAGATCACCAGGTCTTTCTCATGCACAGCAGCTGGATGGGGTTAGCTGCCAAGCTCTTAAGAGACCACCAGCGCTCCTAGACATAGAGTAGGCTCATGAATTCTTATCCTCCTGTCTCAGAGGCCTATGAGGAAGGGGCAGGGACTTCTCACCTTGTGGGCTGTGGGGAGGGGATTACACCTAGTGAATGGCTGCAGCAGGAGGACTGGAAAGAAAAGAACTGACTACTGATTGTTGAGCGGCTGGGTAGAGCCAGTAGCTCCTCCAGGATCTCGTTTGGGCTCAACTACTAACCTAAAAGTTGGTGGTTCGAACCTACCCAGCAGTGCTGTGGAATAGAAGATCTGGCGATCTGCTTCTGTAAAGATTACAGCAAGAAAACCAGTTCTACTCCGTAACACATGGGGTCGCCATGAGTCGGAATCAGCTCAATGGCAACTAACAACAATCTTAAGATAAATGATAATTAGTCCTCAAGGAAGAAAATTTAATAACCTTGGGAAATAGGGGTGGTTCCATTTTGCAAGGGAAGACTCTGAGGCTTTGGGGACAGAAGTGACTTGTCCAAGGTCACACAGGCAAGTAAATGAAAGAATGGGGAGCTGGGACTGTTTGCGTTAAGACCTGGATTAATGTCACCTCACCACTCCCACCCCCAAGATCAGGTCCCAAGTCCCTCTCCATTCTCCTGTTATCATGGGGATGAAGGCTGGGGTGGCAGGAAGAAGGACATTCCACCCCCAAAGTCCCAGTGTTAAAAGTTATTCATGTAAGTAGGGAGGAGCTGGACTGTGTCCCACAGATGGGATCTGGGGGTCTGGATTCCTGAGTCCTGGGGAGGAGGGGGCTGGGGGCAGGACTCCTGGATCTGAAGGAGGGGCTGGGGGCCTGGACTCCTGGGTCTGATGGAGGAGGGGGCTGAGGTCCCAAGGGTCTGAGGAAGATTGAGGAAAGCTAGGGGACTCAACTCCTAGGTCTGAGGGAGGAGGACGAGATTAAGGACCTGAAGAAGAAGGGAGCGGGGCTCCAGAAAAAGTGTCCCAGACCCGGGGTTCCGGGGATCGGGTTGGGAGGATGTGGGGACGCCTTGGGCGGGAGGGGGTGGGGGCCGGGCCGCAGTAACAAAGGCCTCTCCCCTCCAACAAGCAGCCCCCCTCGGCCCCGCCTCCCCGGCCCCCCGTCTGCCCTGA